TCACAGGTGTTTTCATTGTTTGAAGGGGAGTTGATGGAGAAGGCGAGACGAGGGGAGGGGGGGAAGGTGAGGAGATGGTGGAGGGGGGGGGGTTGAAGTGAGGAGTATCACGGCTATAAACGAGGACTTTTTGGAGGAATAATGGAGTCAGGAGGGCAGAGCTAGGAGGGGGGTGGGGTAAGTAGAAATGTTATGTCACACGGGTGATTGCAAACCACGAGGAACTTGGTGTGAATTCGTTTTAATGGCTGAGGGGCAAAGGAATAAGCAAGGATGGGGATGGGGGTTGGGGGGGGCGGGGGTGAGGTGCCATCTGACACCACATTCATCACAAAAAGTACTTAGGGCAAGGCGTTAGGTAGGCCTATGCCGACAGCGCACCGGGTGGGAGCTTATGCCACCTGACCCTCTTTTTTGGGAGGTCTGGAAAATGATACGGTTTTTCTCCCTGGTTCGTTCCTTCTCTCTTTCTCTCTCTCTCTCTCTCTCTCTCTTTCTCTTTCTCTTTCTCTTTCTTTCTTTCAAAGATGGTTGTGATAGCGAAAGTGAAGATGATTAGGAATGAAATAATAAATATAATATAAAGTATGAAAGTATTGTTGATATATACAACAAAAAAATTGTTAATGAAAGTATCGATAATTGTAATTCCATTTTTTTTTCTTTTTTTTGCATACATTTTGTTCTCGCTTCACAGAGAACATATCCTCCCCTAATCACGATAATATTTACATAAATCTCCATCATGCCATAGACGAGACACAGTCCGTACGAAGATAATATCCACCGCAAGTTAATGAACTGCAAAATGCAATGTGTTGAGTGACGGGGAAAAAAACGCCCCAACCTTGACTGGCCTTTTTGCATGTTAACTACCGCTTCGTGTGATTTCCTGCGATAAATGGGTAATTATGCCTCTTTCGTTTGTTTACTTTCCGTTTCGGTGTCTTATTTATAGGTATGTGTAATCTGATTTATTATTGTTTATTGTTTATTTTGCGGGTTTATTTTTTTCTGTTGTTTTGCGTGCGTGTACGTGTGTTTACTCGAAGGAGGGAAAATATTTATTGTAACGTCCAGGCGGCCGGAAAGTGGGCTTCGCCGGCTCATTAAGTCAATTAAGGGTCATATCGTGGCTAGAATAAACAAATAAATGCACGATCAAGGCGTATTAGTATTGCAACAACGGCTCTGCAATTGAAGATAATCGCGAGGCTGCCTCCGATAAGCGCTTATTTGATTAGGTAAACCGACCTTTACGTGTGCGGTTATGTCGGGTATTTATCAAGGATGCTTGCTTTTTTTTCTCTCTCTCTGTATGTTTGTCTCTTTCTTGCTGTCCGTTTTCATCTCTCTCTTTCTCTCAGGCTCTTTCTGTTTACTCTTTTCTCTCATATCTCCTCTTTCTTCTCTCCTTTCTTCTCTCATATGTCTTTCTTCTCTCCTTTTTTCCCTTCATCACTTCCTATTTCTCTGTGTGTTTTCCTCTCTCTCTCTCTCTCCCTCTCTCTCTCTCTCTCTCTCTCTCTCTCTCTCTCTCTCTCTCTCTCTCTCTCTCTCCCTCCCTCCCTCCCTCCCTCCCTCCCTCCCTCTTCCTCTCCCTCTCCCTCCCTCTCCCTCTCCCTCTCCCTCTCCCTCACTCCCTCCCTCCCTTTCTCTCTCTCTCCCTTTCCTTTCGTTTCTTTCCTCTCCTTTCTCATCGTAGTTTTGCCGCGAAGGTGCTTGGCGGCGGAAAGGGCAGTCGTGACGGTCGTTTGCGCTGCAGTTCGAGTCCAAGGTTGGCTCGGCTTTCTCGTTTTCGGAAATTCTCTCCTCCTTTTTTCTTTCTTTTTTTTTCTTCTTCTTCGCTTGGATTATTATCTTGTCGGGCCTTCCTTTTTTCTTTTTCTTCTTCTGTTTTTTTCCCCTGCTCCTTCTTCTTTTTCTTTTTCTTTTTCGTCATCATCTTTTCTTCTTCTTCTTTTTCTTCATCCTCATCCTACTCGTGCACTTCCAACCTTCCTTCTTTCTCTCTTCCTTTCTCCCCTCTTCTCATCTTCCTTCTCACCTTCTCTCTCTCTTTCCTCCTCACCTCCCTTCTCTCTTTCTTTTTCGTCATCATCTTTTCACCTCCCTTCTCACCCCCTTAGTCTCCGCCTTCTCTCCTTCCTTCTCTCTCTCTCCTTTTCTCCTTTATTTTCATGGGCGCTTCCTCGCCAAATTCCAAACGCAGACCGCCCACGATAAGAGCCACGGGAAGCAGATAAGGGAGATAATGGTTTGTGATTAAAGTGAAGCGTGGCTACCGCTTTTTCTTCGTCCTTTCTTTTGCTTCTGCTTCTTCGTCTTCTTCTTCTTCTTCTTCTTCTTCTTCTTCGTCTTTTCCTCATTCTTGTCCTCAATTTCTTTATTTCTGGTTTTCTCTTTCTCCTCCTCCTTTCCTTCTTCTTCTTCTTCTTCTTCTTCTTCTTATTATTATTATTGAATAAGGAGGAAGGGAGAAAGGAAAGAAAGGAGAAGAGGAGAACACCGAAAAGGGGGAGGGGAGAGACGAGAACACCGAAAAGGGGAGGAAGGAAGAGAGGAGTGGCACCTATGGCATCCAGAGGAGATGTCATCATCGGCCGTGGCACCGGAAGTTGCCTCACCAAGGATGCG